TCACATCTCAAGCTGCAGATCCTCTCTGTTAAGCCTGTCCCCCTAGAGTCAACCATACCACACCCAGACCCCACCAGAGTAGCTATAGATCCCAAGGGGGCTCGTGCTCAGGGCAGCTGAAGACATGAAGACCGCCGCACAAGCCACGAATCCTGCCAAAGGCAGGCTGCAAGTCTGAACCACAGAGGGTGTTAGCAGTACAATGACAGTGCGAGCCACTGCTCAGAGGGAACCAATTCAAGACCTCGCCCTGGCACAGCCACCAGATGCCGGTGACATGGCTGTCCTAACAAGTCGTCTCCTCTCCTAGGCCAAGCAAGGACGCACCCCAGAGCCTCTCGCCCCTGCCACAGCAGGATCCCTGCTCTTCCTGGTGTGGAACAGCACGCAGGGACTGCACTGGTTTGCAGCTAATAGGAATTCGATAGGCATCACTCCTCTCCTGATGCCATTCCGAGCCTTGGGGCCATGGTTCAACTGTGGCCAGACACATGGTGGTAGTGGCAACAGGGAGGACACTTTGCACCTGTCACTGCATGGGCAGCCATATCCTCTGGCCTTGCCAAGTTCTTGGGAGCTGCAGCTGAGGGACTGCAGCGGGAGTGACAGCTGCTCTGAATAGGCCTTGTCACTCATTCCCTAGCATGTCACCCACTAAGAATATTTTTATTGTTAGGCTTCAGCTAAGGGATATTATCAGAACAGGTAGGCGAAGACGTAGACAGTCGACAAGAAGGCCCTTTTACAGAAGTAATTACAGACAACTTCCTTAATTTGAAGAAAGGGACGTTTGAGCACAGGAAGCACATGGAAGTCCTAATACACATGACCAGAAAGATCTTCACCATGACCCACTGCAGTCAAATTCTTCACACTCCAACACGAAGACAAGACTCTAAAATCACACAAGAGAAACACCAGACCTTTTTCAGAGGATCTCCAATTAGAATCACATCTGACTTCTCATCAGACACCCTATACGGGCTAGGAAAAAGTGGTGAGATTATATGCCACGTCTTAAAAAAAAGAGCTGTTAATCAAGAATAAAGTACTTTGCAAATCTCTCACTTAGGAATGAAGATGAAATAAAAAATTAGAGCCTGCTGAGGAAATTTCTACTGGCCTCTTGACACACATTTCTTCTGCTCCACAATAAACTTTCCACCTCAGCTTCCTGTGACTTTCTGAAGTATGCACCTGTACCTAACTCAAGACATTGAATCCAGTTATAAATCCTCCAACAAAGAAAATGATAAGCTCTCCTATCCAATACCACTTCACTGATAGCTTCTACCCGTACACGTCCAGAATACAGAAGATGAAATACTCGTTTTATGCCACCTGAGATACTTTAATACCAAAATCATATATATTACCAGGAAAACTATGCACAAATGTCCCTCATAAACAGAGAACTCTCCAAATCCTTGAAATACAATCAAATGAAATCTAGGAATGCTTTAATGTGTCATGACTAAATGGGGCTTCTCTCACAAATGAAGTGGGTTCAGTGTTAGAAAAACTCATCTATGTAATTCATGTGTGGGTGGCTAAAGAAGAAAAATATGAAAGACGTGCAGAAATTAGCCAAACGCTGATCCAACAAAACAGATAAAAATCTATGGCAAGCATCACACTGATGTGGTGAAAGCCAGTAGAGAAGGGTTTCCCCCCAAGGAGGACATAAAAGCTAAGGACATCCGCGGTCATGGCTCCTACTTGATGTCACAGCAGGGAGCCCACTGAGTGTTGTTAAAGCAAGAAAAACACAATGAAATGAGAGAGCTGAAGGGCAGATGTTAAACTCTGGGTTTCTCGAAGCCTTGATCATCTACACATAGTTCCAAAAGCATTTTCTAAACAGCTACTAGTCACAAGAAATTACTTCAGCATGACCATGATGGGTAGAAGGGCAATGTCAAAATATCAAGTGCAGGGCTGGTGCTGTGGCCTACCAGATAAAGCCGCCACCTACAGCACTGACATCCAACATGGGCACCTGCTCAAGTCCCGGACGCTCCACTTCTCATCTTGTTCTCTGCTATGACCTGGGAAAGCAGTGGAAGATGGCCCACGTCCGTGGGCCCCTGCATGCTCTTGTGAAACCCAGAATAAGCTCCTGGTTCCTGGTTTCTGATCGGCTCAGCTGAGGCCACTGCAGCCATCTGGGGGTGAACCAGCAGATGGAAGACCTCTCTCTGTCTCTGTCCCTGTCTCTATCTCTTTCCCTCTGCTTCTGCCTTTCAAATAAATAAAAAGTCTATTGAAAGCAATTATTTATTATAAAATCAATTGTATACCACCATCAATGAACAGGCAGATACTGATATAAAAATTAATTATATACTACCATCAGCGAACAGGTAGACACTGATTTGAAATTTAAAATAGCCTACTGAAATGAAAACTCGTAAACCCTATCAATAAAATACACAATATGTTGGCTGAAGACTAAAATGCTGATAAAGGAAACTAAAGAAGATCTAAATAAATACACTGTGCATAGGACTGGAAGACTGAATATTATTAATATACCATTTCTTCTAAAATGTTCTATAGGTTGAACACAATCTAAATAAAAAAACAAACCAAAACAAAAAAACATCCAGCAAGAGCTTTTGGAGAAAAAAAAAAAACCTGACTGTAGTTAGGAAAATGCAAGACAACTGACTATCAACTCCACCGTGAAAAAACAAGGAACTGGGTGAAATCACGATACTGTCTTTCCAGACTTTCTTTTTTTTAATTTTTTTAATTAATTTTTTTTATTTTTTTGACAGGCAGAGTGGACAGTGAGAGAGAGAGAGAGAGACAGAGAGAAAGGTCTTCTTGACGTTGGTTCACCGTCCAATGGCCGCCACGGCCGATGCGCTGCAGCCAGCACACCACGCTGATCCGATGGCAGGAGCCAGGTACTCATCCTGGTCTCCCATGGGGTGTAGGGCCCAAGTACTTGGGCCATCCTCCACTGCACTCCCAGGCCACAGCAGAGAGCTGGCCTGTAAGAGGGGCAACCGGGACAGAATCCGGCACCCCGACCAGAACTAGAACCCGGTGTGCCGGCGCCGTAAGGCGGAGGATTAGCCTAGTGAGCCGCGGCGCCGGCTCCAGACTTTCAATAAACCTACAATAACCAAGACCTTGCTTTGGTATTCGTGAAAGAACAGAAGAAACAAGTTTCAATGGAGTAGGATAGTGAGTCCAAAAGTAAACCTCATGCCAAAACACATAAGCAAGCATTGTTAAAACTACAAAGAGAAATACACAAAGGCACTATTACACTCACAGACATCAAAACATCTCTTTCGTTAACAGATCAGCAGTCAGATAATCAGTAAGGATGTAGCTTAACAGAAAAGCACCTGAATCAACCAAGCATTGAACGGATCCTTAGCGGATGCACCGTTCTCAGCAACGCAACATGACACGCTTCTCAGACCCACACGGCACATCCACTATGACCACTATGACCACGTTTGTGGCTGTACAGTAGACCCCAACTCCTAAGGAAGAGGCGCCACACAAGGTAAGCTCTCAGATCACAATGCAACCTCTCTACTGAGAGATCAGTACAAAAAGGCTGGAAAATCCCAAATACTTGTGAGAACAATCAACCTACCTCAAAATGACACTTTATAAATCTCAAATAAAAAAATACTTCAAACTAAATGGAAACTGTATCCTGCCCATTTATAGTAATGGATGCATATTTTAGAAAAGAAGAACCAAGATCCATGAGCTGTGCTTTCACCCTAGGAGATCAGAGGAAGAACAGCAACTTAAACACTTAAAGCAAGGTAAGGAAAATCAAATCAATCATGGAGAGATACAAGTCGATGGGACTGAAAAAAAGCTCAATCGCAGAAAAATGTCGACAAAACTAACATTTGGTGCTTTGAACACATCCACAAAATTCGTGAACTTCTTCTCAGGACCAATCAAGAAAAAAGGTTCAAGTTACTGAGTTGGTTAATGAAACGGTGCCACCATGACTGCATGGAAAAAATAACTGTAAAGGAATAGTATGAACAACTCTGTGACAAAAATTATATAAGATAAATGAATTGCGTGAATGTCTTGAAACATAGAATATGCCAAAATCCACACAAAGGGAAAAGAAAAACAGGAATGCTTCCATAATTACTAAGGAAGTTATAATTTATAATAACTAGAGTAAGACATAATTATAAGTATCAGAAAATGTATTAGACAGATATGAGTTACTGAATTCACATACCCCGTTTCTGCTCAGCTAAAAAGAAACAATGGGCAGAAAAGTACTTACAAGACCTGCTTTGTGGCACGGCAGGTTACGACACTGCCTAGAACAATGTCATTTCATATAGATGCCAACTGGATTCCTGCCTGCTATGCTTTTTTTTTAAAAGCTTTATTTATTCATTTCAAAAGCAGAATTACAGAGATTCAGAGGGAGAGAGAAATAGAGAGAGAAGGTCTTCCATCCACGGGTTACTCCCCAGATAGACGCAACAGCCGGAGCTGAGCGGATTTGAAGCCAGGAGCCAGGAGCAGTTCCTTCAGGACTCCCACACAGGTGCACGGGCCCAAGGACTTGGGCCCTCTTCTACTGCTTTGCCAGGGCACAGCAGAGAATTGGATCAGAAGTGGAGCTGCTGGGACTCGAACCAATGCCCATGTGGGATGCTGGTACATGCAGGCGGCTGCTTCATCCACTATACCACGGCTCCGCCCACCCCACCCTCCAACCCTCATCAACCCAGGCTGTTCCCACTTGAGATCCAGCTGTATGCTCAAACGCCTAAGAAAGCAGAGGAAGCAGCGCAAGGACTTGGGCCCCCAAAACCACACTGGAGTACTGGATAAAGTACATGGCTTCTGCTTTGGCCTGGCCCAGCCCCGGGACGTTGGAGCCACCTGGGGTAGGAACCCACACATTGAATACCTCTCTTGCACTGCCTTATCTATAACTCTGCTTTGGAAACCAATCTTTAAAAAGAAAAAAAATATCTAGTACTTACTATGAGGTATCAGAATCTTGGACAGGCTGGAATAGAGCACACAGGATTCTTGGGGTTTCTCTACGCTTCTGCTTTCTCTTCAGTGTGTGCAGTCTGTGAAAATTGACCAGATTACATGCAAATTAATTCTAGTGACCCGTACCCATTTCCCTGCACACACACGTTACAGTTCTGAACAACCCAGAGAAGAGAGGCCATGAGTCAAGGACTGTTCTCATGGACATGGCCAAGGCTACTTCCAGCCAGGGACAGAAAAACCCCCAAACAGAACCAGGGATGTGGGAAAAGTTCTTGCTCTCCCAACCCCCACCACCTGCCCACTGGGACTCCTGTCACACTCCCCATGCCTTTCCTTTCCCCTACACATGTTTCTTCCCCTCGTTTCACGCCTCCCCACAATCATGCCACCTTTTCATGCTCCCCTCTTCCTCTCTCCTCCCGCCTCCCCCTTGACTGCCTTTCTCCTTCTACTATCCCCCTCAAACCCTCACATGCACACCCCTTTCCCGCTCTCTCCACCCAAGTCCCCACCTACAACCATGTCAGAAAGGCCAACACAGCAAACTCACCGCAGAGAGAGCGTTCTGTTCTTCTGGAACAGGAACTCAGTAAGAGATGTAGTCTTCCAGAAGGAGCCGAAAAAGAGGACCGAGCCTAGATTTCCAGAAGCCCAAGGTAACTGATACACCAGACTTGGGCCCCAGCATCTCCGGATCCAGGCCTGACCCTGGGGTTCTGAGTCTCACTCAGGCTCTGCCGGCAGGGTCAAGGATAGCTCCTCATTGCTTGAACAGGCTCTCAGGAGAGGAGTCGCCGCACCACAGATTTCCACCTGAGCACCTCAGGTCAGAAGGTTCGGTGCGGCCGGCGCCGCCGCTCAATAGGCTAATCCTCTGCCTGCGGCGCCTCTAGTCCTGGTCGAGGCGCTGGATTCTGTCCTGGTTGCCCCTCTTCCAGGCCAGCTCTCTGCTGTGGCCAGGGAGTGCAGTGGAGGATGGCCCAAGTGCTTGGGCCCTGCACCCCATGGGAGACCAGGAGAAGCACCTAGCTCTTGCCTTCGGATCAGCGTGGTGCGCCAGCCGCAGCTCGCCGGCCCTGGCGGCCATTGGAGGGTGAACCAACGGCAAAAGGAAGACCCTTCTCTCTGTCTCCCTCTCTCACTGTCCAATCTGCCTGTCAAATAAATAAATAAATAAATAAAATTAAAATAAAAAAAGAAGGTGCCGTGCATGTGTGTGCACTTCTGGGTTGCAGCACTGTACGCAGGTGCACTCCACATGGGCGGCTGCCATGGCACCAGGGGATGCATTTGCATGATGCCACATCAACACATTCAGCGTCCAACACCCCAGGGCCAATTATAGCCTGGCGGCTCCAGACTGTGACCAAGTGAGGCAGCGGTCGATGACCCAGGTACTCTTCTGGGGATTCACCCCCCCACACCGTGGCTATAAAGGCCAAGACTGGGACAGGCCAAAGCAGAAGCCAGGGACTTTTTATCCAATGCTGCATTCTAGGTTCAGGGACCTAAGTCCTTGGGCTGTCTCCCACTGCTTTCCCAGGTGTGCTAGAAGACAGCTGTATCCCACAGGGAATGGCTTCCAGGAGGGGCCGGGGCTGTGGGGTAGCGGGTAAAGCCACCACCCACAGTGCCGACATCCCATGTGGGTGCCAGTTTGAAAACCAGCTGCTCCAGTTTCAATGCAGCTGTGTGGTCACGGAAGGCAGTAGAAGATGGCCCAAGACCTTGTGCCTCTGTATCCTTTCAGGAGACCCCAGCAAGGCTCCTGGCCCCAAGCCCCTGGCTCCTGCCTCAGGATCCGATAAGCTCTGTCCATTGTAGCCAACTGCGGAGTGGACCAGCAGATGGCAGGCCTCTCTCTCTCTCTCTCTCTCTCTCTCTCTCTCTCTGTAAATCCTAATTACAAATAAATAAAAATATCTTTAAAAAGGCAATTTTTTCAAAAAGGAAAACATGCCTATAAATAAAATAATACCTCAAGGGCATCAACAATTTTATTTAGAATTTGATATTATATGCATTACCTACCCTATTAACACAGAATTTGAAAAAGAGTTTAACTCCATCTTAGAAAAGATTTTGGTACCCATTCATCTCTTCATCCTTACAAACATTCTGTATGGTATTATCTCTGACTTGTGCATGAGGAAATCTTTGTAATATATTTTTTCAGACACTTATGTACACACTTGCAAAAGGACTTGAAACACCTGTGATCTACAGAGTTCTCCACGGAACACAGATCTGCATTTAAAACATGGGTTATGTTAGAAGTAGGCCAAATCATGTCTTCCACAAAGCAAGATTGAATACAGAAAGGTATCATCTGAGGTCACTGTTGTCATTTTCTACGTGCACGTGATCATGTTGGCATATTTTTCTCTCATTTCTCAATATTAGATACAAATTGGAAGGGAGTTAAGTCCAACTATCCCTATCTGCAGATGACATGATTCTATATATAGGAGATCCAAAAGACTCCACTAAGAAACTATTGAAACTCAGAGTAGAATGTGGTAAAGTGGCAGGATAGAATATCAGCAGCCTATTTGTATACACAAACAATGTCATGGCTGAGAAAGGACTTCAAAGACCAATCCCATTCACAGAGCTACAAAGAAAATATAATCGTTTGGATAAATAAAACCAAGGATGTTCAATATCTGGGGATCACAACAGATTAAAGAAAGGGATAGAAGAGGACACCAAAAAAACAAATTGAGAAGCTTCTGCCCTGCAAGACTAAAGAGGCAACTAACGGAATGGGAGAAATTATCTGCAAAGTATGCAACTGATAAAGGATAAACTACCGGAAACTTTCAAGAAACTCAACAACAGCAAAACAAACCACCCACTCAAGAAATGGGCAAGGGACTTCAACAGGCTAAATATTTCAAGAAAGGAAATCTAAATTGCCAACAAACACATGCAGAAATGCTCAGGATCACTAGCCATCAGGGAAATGCAAATCAATACTACAACAGCCTTGAGGATATGGTGGGAAAAGGCACCCACATCCACAGCTGGTGGGAATGTAAACTGGTATCGCCACTGTGGAAGACAGTAGGGAGATAAGTAAGAAATCTGAATATAGGCCGGCGCCGCGGCTCACTAGGCTAATCCTCCGCCTTGCGGCACCGGCACACCGGGTTCTAGTCCCGGTCGGGGCGCCAGATTCTGTCCCGGCTGCCCCTCTTCCAGGCCAGCTCTCTGCTGTAGCCAGGGAGTGCAGTGGAGGATGGCCCAAGTCCTTGGACCCTGCACCCCATGGGAGACCAGGAGAAGCACCTGGCTTCTGCCATCGGATCAGCGCGGTGCGCTGGCCGCAGCGCGCCGGCCACGGCGGCCATTGGAGGGTGAACCAATGGCAAAAGGAAGACCTTTCTCTCTGTCTCTCTCTCTCACTGTCCACTCTGCCTGTCAAAAAATAAAAAAAAAAAATAAAATAAAAAAGAATCTGAATATAGACGTACCATAGGAGCCAGCCATTCCACCCCTGTGTATATACCCAAGGGAAATGAAAACAACATACGAACAAAGAGTTATTGCTGCCCCCATATTTACTAAGCTCAATTCATAATAGCAAAGATATGCAATTGTGGGGAGCAGCTCGGACTCGACTGAGTTACTGGAATTAAGACTTATTCTATGCATCTGCTCTCCCACAATATGGCGCTGGGAGAGAAGAAAACAGCTTTTACACAGCTGCCTCCAGTTCAACCAATAAACTGTAGGACTTGCTCCTGATTGGAGGAGAGCAGCGTACTCGGCATGTGGGCAGCTGAGTTAGGATTGGCGGAGGAGGACTATAAAGGAGGAGAGAGATGGCATGCACCAGGAACATCTAAGGGGAACATCTAAGGGGAACACCTGTGCAGCCCCCGAGAGAGCCGGCCGGCGGTGTGCCACTCCCCTGCGGAAGTGGGGAATGTGGCCAGGGGGAACTGCCCTTCCACGGAGGTGGAAGGGATAGTAGCCAACCCGGGAAGAACCAGCAGCAAACCCGGGGAGGGCCGAGCAGACAAAAGAACAGCGCAGGGTCCTGTGTCGTTCCTCCACGAAGAGGGGGAGCGACATGCAATCAGCCAAAATGCCCATCACCTCAAGACAGAATAAAGACATTATGGGCTATGTACACCATACATGCATATACAGCCTACATAGCCTGGCTACTGTGCACCCTACTGCAGTAAGCATAGGCCTGTGAAAACCTCTCTGTCTACAAAATGGTTTCATTTCCTTCAGTATGTTCCTAGGAGTGGGTACAAAACAGTTTTCCAGGTTGACAGGACTAATTTCACATGAGAAATTGCACTACTATACAGGTATATATTACAGAATACAGACATCGGACCCATAAACCCAATTTTACCTTAAAACACCAGAACAGCAAAGTAAATCTTAAGAAACTGGAAGGGGAAAAAAGATTGAAACGGCAGTGAATCCAACGGCATAGAAAATATCACAACAGACATTCAGTGAGACCAAACTACAGTGCTTGAAAACTCAGTCACCTGACAAAACGTGTATACACAGGAAGCAGGGGAAAAAAGGAGAACAGACTCAAGTGGCTTGACAACAGAAATGAAAGAGGGGCCGGCGCCGCGGCTCACTAGGCTAATCCTCCGCCTAGCAGCGCCGGCACACCGGGTTCTAGTCTCGGTCGGGGCGCCGGATTCTATACCGGTTGCCCCTCTTCCAGGCCAGCTCTCTGCTGTGGCCAGGGAGTGCAGTGGAGGATGGCCCAAGTGCTTGGGCCCTGCACCCCATGGGAGACCAGGAAAAGCACCTGGCTCCTGGCTCCTGCCATCGGATCAGCGCGGAGCGCCGGCCGCGGCGGCCATTGGAGGGTGAACCAACGGCAAAGGAAGACCTTTCTCTCTCTCTCTCTCACTGTCCACTCTGCCTGTCGAAAGAAAGAAAAGAAAGAAAGAAAGAAAGAAAAGAAAGAAAGAAAGAAAGAAAGAAAGAAAGAAAGAAAGAAAGAAAGAAAGAAAGAAGACATCGCTACCAAACTTGCCAAAATAATACTCCAAAACCACTAGGGAAAAACCAAGGCACAAGGATTTGGTCAACCTAGATAGAGTGGACTGAGTCTCAGAAAGACACAAACCACTAAAACTGAATACAGTGAACCAAGAATCTCTGAAGACACTTCTAATTTGAAAAGAGACCGTAGTAGCAGAGATACCGAAACAAACAAACAAAAAATGAAGAAAAGTCCAGGACCAGATGGCTCCACCGGTGAGAACTCCCATGGAAAAGATAATTAAAATGCGTGATTCGCAAACCCTTCCAACAAGGAGATGGAGAGGAAAAGCCTTCCATTTCATTCCATCAGACCAGCCTTATCCCAACATCCAAAACAAGCACATCACAAAGAAAATGGCAC